ATGTACACTTCGCGCCTGCGTCTCTCTCCCGCCACTGCACCTGCTGTTCTTGCCGCGGCCACCTACTTGCAGATGGAACATGTGGTCCAGGCGTGCCACCGCTTTATCCAGAGCAGGTGAGGGGACCCTGGCTGGGTGTTCTCAGAGGGTGAGGTGGCACCTTGGCAGTCACAGATTAGCAAATCCACTAAATGTCCATCCTGCTTCTCCCAGCTGTGACCCTCTGGGCATCTCGCTGCGGCCCCTGGTGGCAGAACCCCCCACCCCCTCGAAGGCACCTCCACCAGGCAGCCCCAGGTGCTCCGAAGGACACCCAGACCCACCAACGGAGTCTCGCAGCTGCAGCCAAGGTCCCCCCAGTCCTGCCAGCCCTGACCCCAAGGCCTGCAACTGGAAGAAGTACAAGTTCATCGTGCTGAACTCTCAGGCTTCCCAAGCAGGGAGCCTGGTGGGCGAGAGGAGTTCTGGTCAGCCTTGCCCCCAGGCCAGGCTGCCCAGTGGAGATGAGGCCTCCAGCAGCAGCAGCGAAGAAGGACCCATTCCCGGTCCCCAGAGCAGGTGCAGAATCTGGAACTGGGGAGCAGGACCGTTAAACCCGGGCGGTATGAAGCAGGGAGATGGGGTGGGAGGCAGTGTGCAGACTCTCGCCCACCCAGGGGAGCTGGCCAGAGGCCAGGTGTGGACTCAGTGGGCTGGGGCTGTGGCGGCACAGCGGCTCATGGACCCGCATTGGCTCACCTCCAAAAGATGGACTGTGGCTCCAGATTCTCCAAGAGAAAACCCCTTTTCATATAATCTCCCCTGATCCTTTTCTCTGGGCCTTGCCTTGTGCCTAGGCTGTCTCTGTCTGCTGCCACTGCACAGTTCAAATGTGGGGCACCAGCCAGTACCCCACATCTGCTCGCTCCCCGGGCTCAGGAGACCACCAGATCACCCTCTGAGCAGGCTCGTCCACTGCCAGGTAAGACACCCCCTCCCCGCCCCCCGCCATGTCCTGGCTTTTTTCTTGTGGCTGTTGCAGGCCAGTTTGGACCAATAGGCCTCTCCCAGTGATGCTCGAACTTCACTGCAAATTAAAATCACTTGGGAAGCTTGTAAACAGCAGGTCACCATACAGATCAGAATATCTGGCCGTGGAGAGCAAACACCAGTATGTGGTTTGTTTAAGGTTTGATAGGCGAGTGACAGAGAGACAAAGAGATCCCACACCCACTGGCTCACTCCTCAAATGGCTGCAACAGCCAGGACTGAGCCAGGCCAAAGCCAGGAGCTCCATCTGGGTCTCCCACATGGGTGCAGGGGCCCAACCACTTGGGCCATCCTCTGCTGCTTTCCCAGGTGCTTTAGCAGGGAGCTGGAGTGGGTCAGCCAGGACCCGAGTGGGGGCTCTGATAAGCGATGCTGGTGTCGCGGGTGGCAGCCTCACCCACTGTGCCACAAGCTCTCCAGGTGCAGAGATTGGGACTTTCTGGCCTGTCCCCATCCAGGGCTTGGCAGGAGCCTCTCTGTGGTGAGAGAAGGGAGAGAGGAACAGACCCCGGCCCACGGGGGAGGGCCTCTACCTCCCATTGCCTCTATGGAGTCAGATCCCAGCCCAGCTGACCCACTCTGGGCCCCAAGAAGGCCAGATGAGCCCCTACGGGCGTTTACAGTAAACGGGGTGTTAGGCTCACCGGCACCTAGGAAGCCCTCCGTGAAACCCACCCCTTTGCAGGAAGTGAATTTTTCAGCTGCCAGAACTGTGAGGCTGTGGCTGGGTGTTCATCGGGGCTGGACCCCTTGGCTCCTGGGGAGGAGGACAAGCCCTACAAGTGTCAGCTCTGCCGCTCCGCCTTCCGCTACAAGGGCAACCTGGCCAGTCACCGCACGGTGCACACAGGTAAGGAGGAGAGGGCCCCGGGCCTTGCACCCACCGCGCTGGGCAGCCCAAGCCCCCTGAGCGCGCTTGCTCCTCGCCTGCAGGGGAGAAGCCCTACCACTGCTCCATCTGCGGGGCCCGCTTTAACCGGCCGGCGAACCTGAAAACGCACAGCCGCATCCACTCGGGAGAAAAGCCCTACAAGTGTGAAACGTGCGGCTCGCGCTTCGTGCAGGTAGGCGGCCGCCCCGCCCCGACACGCTTCAAAGGCAAAATCGCCAGATTCGCTATCCCGAGGCGTGCCGTCTAAAGTCCCCTCCCCTCCCCTCCCAGGTGGCGCATCTGCGCGCGCACGTGCTCATCCACACCGGCGAGAAGCCTTATCCCTGCCCCACCTGTGGGACTCGCTTCCGCCACCTGCAGACGCTGAAGAGCCACGTGCGCATCCACACAGGAGAGAAGCCATACCATGTGGGTACCCAGCTTGGCTGGCCCTGGAACTGCCGACCAGGGCTCTGAGACAAGCAGGCCTTGCCGGTCCTGCAGCTCTTGCAATGAGCCGGGTCCCTAAGGATAAAGGGCGGGGCGCGGGGTAGGACCGAGCAGGTGTAGGACTTACAGCTCCTGGGTTGGTGTTATCTGCTGGGAGAGGAGGGACTAATGGGAAAACCTTGGCCAGATAAGGCGGAGCATAAAGATGTGGGAGGACCTGAAGACCAGTGAGTTATCTTTCGGTGGAGAGCTGGGCAGTTCTACGACACTCAACACCTAAAAGGTGGCTGTGGAGGGGGAGGGACCTGACCCGGATGTTCTTCCACAGTGCGACCCCTGCGGCCTGCATTTCCGGCACAAGAGTCAACTTCGCCTGCATCTGCGCCAGAAGCATGGAGCTGCTACCAACACCAAAGTGCACTACCACGTTCTGGGGGGCCCCTAGCCGAGCGCGGGCCTGGACCCCACTTGCTTCCTAAGAGCCAGGAAGGCTGCAGGTGCAGGCGAGGGGGTGGGCAAGGCCACTTCTGGCATCGGAAACTGCTGCCACCTTCCTTCCTTGCTGGGGAGAGCAGGGGTGGCAGATCCTGGCTAGATCTGCCTCTGTTTTGCTGGTCAAAACCTCTTCCCCACAATGTGGATTGTCTAGGCAGGGGCTGGCGGAAGAGAAAGACTGGCGGTCTGGTTTCCTTAGAGGGAACAGCCCTCCAGCTGCAGCCCCCATCTCGCTGGGTTTCTCTGTACATATAATTTATTGAGGCCTTTGGGTGGCACCAGGGCCGTCTCTATGGCGTCTCCCACTTCCCTGTTCCACAAGTGTGATCAAACGTGACCCAAGACACAGAAGGTGAGGTCACGGCTCTGCTGGCAGAGATTAGCACTTGACTCTGTCTCCTGGCTGAAGTGCTTCATATTGTTCTTGTCATAACTTTTATCTTTAGAATTGTCCTTTCTCCTGTCTGTTTGCTTTAAACAGAGAAAGGGGTTCTTTGTGTCCTGGCCCTCCTGTTCGAGGTCTGGAACCTTTATTTGTTTGAGGGCAGCTCTGGGAACATGTGGGACTGTGGGATTGGGTCAGGCTCCCTCCTAGGTGCTGTAGGTTCTTCTAGCTGGCTAGACATGGATGTAGAGTTTTGTTTTTTTGTTTTTTGTTTTTTGTGTTTTTTTTGTTTTTACCCTCCCTGTTCACAGGTAATGGGAACCTCTATAGAGCTATGAAATGCCTCCTGAAGACTGGGGGTGCAGGCTGGATTCTGTGTCGCCCCCAGTGGAGGCCGGTAGGGTGGCCCAGAACCCATGCTGTCCATTGAACCGGTCACCTGGGTCTGTTTCCACAGTAGCCATCTCTCACGGTAGAGCTCACCCAAGGGCTAGGGCTAAGCCCATAATCACTGGGACCCGTTCTTAGTGCTGAGTTGAGTCCTCCCTGGGGGAGGGAGCTGGCATTCCCTGTCAGACACGATGTAAGCTTTTCAGATTCTGCCCAGTCTCTTGAATGCCCACGACTTAGGGGAGAATCACACAACTCGTCACCGTCACTGGGAGGTAACGCATCATGAGCCCCCCTTTGCTGCAGAGGCATCCGCGTTTGAATGTTCCTTGGGGTTCTCGCTACCTGAAATGGGCCCTTGCTTCCTTTAATGGGTTTTTGGACATCTTCCGGCAAGTGTCCAAATTCCAGAAACTTCTTTGCCTCTAGAAGTCACAGGTGCTTGGTCACTTTCTTACCATGGAAAAGCTGGGTCTGTGACCCAGTCTTCCCCTCCCTGCATTCCTGTCTAGTGCCTCCCACAGGAAGACAAGGGGCTGAGTTCCATTCTGGGTTTGTTGTGGTTTGGGATTACTGGAGGGATGAGATGTAAGAGATTGGAAAGGCTGGGTCAAAGGCCCGAAAGTTGAGTTTCCAGGTTCGGAGTAAGAAGTTGGCTGAGGGTTGTGGTTTTTGGTGGAGGCCAAGTAGGTAGAAAGTTAGGAATGGGGTTGTCTCTTGGCTGGCTGGAGTGTCTGGATGTAGGTAATGTTCTGAGTCCTTGGGGCCTATTTGATGATAAGATTGGGGGGGGGGGTGGAAGGTAGGAAGCACTTTTGACTTTGTGCACCAGAACTTCAGGATAAGTCACTTGGGGACTGGTGAGAAGGCTACTCTTCTCCTTCTTCCCCTCCTACTCCCCACCACCCCATCCCAGAACTGAGGGAGGAAGAAGAAGGGTGGTGTGAGAAGGAAACCTGATTTCTCTTTAGCAGACTGGATGGGGAGGTGGAGAGCTCCTGGGGGTGGAGATGTTAGATTTTGCAAAATCAGATCCTTGGAATAAAGAAGCCTCTCTGTGCCACCTGCTGTGTCTTGGGTTCTTGCCTAAGGGGGAATCTGGGGGCTGAGGGAGAGAGTTCTTCCCTCCTGGATAACATCTTGGACTGCGAATCCATGCCATTGTCCCATCCCGGCAGACATCTTAAATGGTCCTTGTTCTCCCTTTCGCTGCCCTTGCCTTCCGGCTCATTGTGTAGGAACCAGTGACTTCATGAAGTTTCTCCGGAGGCACCTGCATCCTGCTGCTCTCCAGTCACTTCCTGCCTGACGTGTGGAGGTGGCAGGAAGGGACCGAACAGCCACTCACTAGTTATGCCAAGAGACTAGGAGATGCATCTGTACTGGGGATCTCTTTTTAATATAAGATTTATTTTTATTTATTTGAAAGAGTTACAGGGGAGTGGGGGATTGAGAGAGAAAATCTTCCATCCACTGGTTCACTCCCCAGATGGCCGAAATGGCTGAGGCTGGTCCAGACCAAAGTCAGGAACCAGGAGCTTCTTCTGGGTCTCCCATGTAGGTGCAGGGGTCCAGGCACTTGGGCCATCTTCTACTGCTTTCCTAGGTGCATTAACAGGGAGCTGGATCGGAATTGGAGAAGAAAGGTCTTCAACCAGCATCCGTATGGGATGCCAGTGCCGCAGAGGCTTAACTTGCTAAGCATAGTGCTGGCCGCTGTGCTGGGGATCTTAATGCTTGGGACACCCGCACTTCCACCCCTATGACCAAGAAAAATGCATAGGAGTTGGGTCCCAAAAGGACAACAGGGGCTGGAGGCAGCAGTGAGAAAACTATGCAGCCAGGGCCAACATGTCAACCCCACCCTTCCCCAGGAATGAGATCTTGGCCTCCATCTAGCGTCGGAGGCATGCAGCCCTCCCACTCTTACCTTGTCTTCCTTGTGTCCTGGGTGCACACTCTGCTCTGCCCCCATGGCCAGGGTCACTAATTCCCTTTGGGCTCCCTTTGGGCCTTAAATTCCTCATTTGTGGAAAAAAGCCAGTTACCATGGTCTGCAATTCCCGCCAACATTTAGCTCATGGTTGTGTTTCTTAATCTTTTAAAACTCATGACCTGGATTAGACTTCAAAACAAAACAAAAAACTAAACTAAAACCTTCCACTCCAGCTTATGGCCTGCTGATAATCAGACCAGCTAATATTATCTCCTGCAACATGAGATGTTCTTTATCGCCTGCTAAAGGAAGCATTTTCATTCACATGTTTTCTAATTGAACCCCCCCAACATTGCTAAAAGGTAGGTACTAGTATCTGTAATCCACAGATAATGAGGAAACCCACTGAGAGAGGTTCAGTATCCTGACCAGGTTAATAAGTGATGAAGCGGAGGCTGGAACTGTGATCTAGTTCCAAAGACTGAGCTATTAAACACTGTTGCACGGCCGTACCGATTGCTGCATCTCAGAGAGAGAGAGAGAGATTTACAGATGCTTATTTCCATTTCCCACATATGAGATGATAGGCTCACTGTCTCACCCCCATTCTCGTTTGCCTTTTCTGGAGTCCACGGTTCAAGGTCAGCGTCCCAGGGAGCTTGACTTAGAAGGAGGGGGAAGCTCAGGTGGCTCCTGCCGTGGACTCAGGGAGGCTGGTGGACTCCAGGACTGGGGGCCTCGGAGTACTGGTTGGTTGGGAGGGGTGGCCACTCCAGTGGCCAGTCGTAGCCTTTCCCTGTAATCGCTCCCATCAGGAGATCAACGACCCTAGCTAGGAAGTGGTTGTGGCTAGAAAGGTTCCAGCCCCAATGAGGAAGAGGTGGGTGGTGCGAGTATTGGTTCCCCCTCAACCCCCAGCTCGCGGCCGCCCTTCCTTTCCTGGGTTATTTTTGGTCTCTGAGGCCTGTAGGTTTCCTGTTAGTGGGAACAGAAGCAACACGAAAGGGTTCCCATGGCAGAAACGAACGCGGGGATCCCCACAACCCGCTCCCCTTCCCTCTCCCCTGGGCCTCTGAATGTTTCAGGGATCCGAGCTCGGGGCAGGGGGAGTCCGTGTTAGTGGCCGCGGACACGCTGCCTCTCTCCCAGCCCCTTCCCTCGTCCCCACGTGGCCTTGCAAGTCCTGAATCCCTCATTAGACGAATGAGTGCTTGCCTCAGGACCAGTGGACCCGCCAATTGACCTTGCGGGTCTCGGAGCTGAACCGCGGACGAGTGCACCAGCAAAGTGATCGGGAGACGGCAGCACCCTCCGGGTGGGTGCCCGCGTCACGTGGGACTCTCGCGGTCTCCCTAAAGCCCCTCCTTACGCATGCGCCCCGCTTACCGCCAGGCTCCAGAACAAAGCTGTAAGCCCCGCCCCGCCCTCCTGGCCCCGCCCCCTGTCCGGGAGTCTCGCGTTCTCATTGGCGAGCTGCAGACCGGGAGGTTGGCCGGCATGGCCAGGTGGTGACATCTCCGGGGATCAAACAGATACTGCATCCGAGACTGGCACGCCCCCCGGCCCCTAACTGAGCACGGAGGTCCGCCCCATTGCTCCACGCCCCCGGGCGCTTAGGGCGGGGGTTGCCCTCCTGCACCGATCCTTTCAGGCCGCCTCGTTAGCTCGCTGGGTCCCGAGCCGCCAGGCGGGGGCGGGGGCGGGGGCGAGGGGCGCGTTCGCAGCCCGCGCCCGCTCGATGGCGCGTAGGGCCGGGCCCCCCGACGGGGGCTGGGGCTGGATGGTGGTGCTCTCGGCGTTCTTCCAGTCCGCGCTGGTGTTCGGGGTGCTGCGCTCCTTCGGCGTCTTCTTCGTGGAGTTCGTGGCGGCCTTTGAGGAGCAGGCAGCGCGCGTCTCCTGGATCGCCTCCATCGGGATCGCCGTGCAGCAGTTCGGGAGTGAGTGCGGCGCCTGGGCCCGGCGCCCCGCGACCCTCGGAGGGGAGAGAGGATGGGGGGCGGGGCGCGGAAGGGGCGGGAGGGTGCCGGGGAGGACGCCTGAGACCTCGCAGAACCCCTTCCGCTTCCCCAGGCCCAGTGGGCAGTGCCCTGAGCACGAAGTTCGGGCCCCGGCCGGTGGTGATGAGTGGCGGCCTCCTGGCCGCGCTGGGGATGCTGCTGGCCTCCTTTGCTACCTCCTTAACCCACCTGTACCTGAGCATTGGGCTGCTCTCAGGTGAGTCCCCTGGGCCTACGTCCTTTAGCCTTCCTGGGGATCCTCCCAGGGGTGACTGAAAGTTTGCTATGCACCTGTGCCCTGAAGGGAATTCTTAAAGACGTGGTAAAGTTACCTTGATAAACAGGGCAGGGAAATTAGGGGATCCTAATCCACAGAGGAGGAAGCCATCTGTGGGGCAGCAGGTGATGGCTCAAGACTTGGGTCCCTGCCACCCACGTGGGAGACTGGGTTGAGTTCCCAGCTCCTGGCTTCTGCCAGGCCCAGCGAGGCTGTATAGTGGGCCTCTGCCTTGCGAATAAAATGAAAATAAGTAAATAACCAAATAAAAGCTGTTTTTTTAAGTAGATGAATCTAGGCTATGCAAGGGTACTTCAGAAGGTCCAGGAAAAATTTTAAATTAAAAAATATGTTTTGGTACAAGATAATTGGAAGCTCATGCATAGTTTTTTTTTTAAATAATATACATTTTTGTATGAGCTTTTTGAAGCACCTCCATACAAACCAATGGCTAGCGGGACAGGAAGAGAAAAGGCAGAATGTACTATACAATCCTTCTAGGTAATGTGGATATCTTTATCCTGTTCACAAAGAAAAGTCCTCAAAGCTTATGCAACTCAAAATGTGAGAGCCACATAGCCCAGGTCTAACTCCAAAGTTCCGTGGTTACTTTACAAACATTAGCTCCGATCCTCCACAAGCCCAGGAAGTATATATTAACCCCACTGTGCAGAAGAGGAGATTGAGGTTGGAGACAGAACGCACCAAGGCTTGAAGCCAGCAGGTGTCAAAGGCAGGACTGCCCGCCGGGTCTGTGGATCCAAAGCAAGGGTTACACTGGGCGCTGGGAATGTGGACCTGGTGGCTTAATTAAACTCACCACCCAACCCCCGTTTCTTCCTTTTTTTGACAGGCTCTGGCTGGGCCTTGACCTTCACTCCAACCCTGGCCTGCCTGTCCCGCTACTTCTCTCGCCGCCGATCCCTGGCCACCGGGCTGGCCCTGACAGGCGTGGGCCTCTCCTCATTTGCATTTGCTCCCCTCTTCCAGTGGCTGCTCAGCTACTACGCCTGGCGGGGGGCCCTGCTGCTCGTGTCCGCCCTCTCCTTGCACCTGGTGGTCTGCGGAGCTCTCCTCCGCCCGCTCTCCCTGGCCGAGGACCCTGTTGTGGGTGGCCCTGGGGCCCAGCTCATGTCCCTCCTCCACGAAGGCCCCTTTCTCCGTTACACCGTTGCCCTCACCCTGATCAACACTGGCTTCTTCATCCCCTATGTGCACCTGGTGGCTCATCTCCAGGACCAGGGCTGGGACCCATTGCCTGCTGCCTTTCTGCTCTCCGTGGCTGCCATAGCTGACCTCGTGGGGCGCGTGGCCTCTGGCTGGCTGGGAGATGCAATCCCAGGGCCCGTGACACGACTTCTGATGCTCTGGAGCGCCCTCACTGGGGTGTCACTAGCCCTGTTCCCTGTGGCCCACACCTCCACAGCCCTGGTCATCCTGGCTGTGGCCTATGGCTTCTCATCAGGGGCCCTGACCCCAGTGGCCTTCTCCGTGCTGCCGGAACTGGTCGGGACGGCAAGGATTTACTGTGGCCTAGGACTGGTGCAGATGGTAGAGAGCATCGGGGGGCTGCTGGGGGCTCCTCTGTCAGGTAAGGGGATGGGGTGACCAGGCAGGCCAGGGCTGCCAGGCCGCACAGTTGGGGGTGGGCACTGTTCTCATCGTGGGGGACATGGCTATTGCCCTTGACGTGGCACAGCCTCCAGCCTGCATGACGAAGCGCAGCAGCCCTGAAATGGGTCCTTGGGGACTGGGAAGGGCTAGGTGAAAACCCAGGAGCCGTGGGGAACCCTTGCCAGGGTGCCTACGGCGTGGGTTGCCAGGGGACCTGGCTGGACCGAGCCAGGCCTGACCCTCCAGTGTTTCCCACCTCCTTTGGCCCACTGGGCCCTAGTCCAGGTCTCTTAGACATTTGGCTAAAGTTCTCCAGGCTCTTAACACCAAGACCTACAGCCTTGCCCTCTTAACTATTAACTGAAGGAGCAGAGGGGCCAGAGCTGCCTGAAGCAAAGCCACAGGCACAGCTGACCCACCAGGATCCCCATGGGCTGGCCGAGAGGTCCTTGCTGAAGACAGGACAACAGCCGTAATGACCGCACTAGGCCCCTTGGTTGGGGCAGTTTGGGGGGGGTGTGTGTGACCAGAGTTCTCGAGCTCATCCAGCCCCACCCTGGGAGTCGAGGCTCCTTGGAGACGCTGGGTCTTCCCCTGCCCCAGAAACGTGAGCCCAAGCCCTCCACCCCGGCCAACAGCTCACCCACCTGTGTTCTCTTCTCCTGGACCTAGGCTACCTCCGTGACATGACAGGGAACTACACAGCTTCTTTTGTGGCGGCTGGGGCCTTCCTCCTGGCTGGGAGTGGCGTCCTCCTCACCCTGCCCCACTTCTTCTGCTTCTCAGCGACTGCCTCCAGGCCCCAGGCCCCTGGAACAGAGGCGCTGGAGACCAGAGTCCCTCCGGCCAAGGCGGAGGGGCCTGGAGAGGACTAAAGGCCACCCAGGGTGCCAGGTACAGACAGCCAGGGTGCGACAGCGCCCTGTTCCGGAACCACGATGCCTTCGTAGTCTGGGCCTGCCTCCCCTCCGAGCAGGCCCCGGGCTCCCACGGTGGGTGTGCCAACCCTTTGTATTTTGTTTAGGGGTCTTCCGCTTGGCTCCCTCGACTTCCCCTGAAGGATCCAGGAGTTCCCGCTGCACTGAGCCGCGAATCCACTGTAAAACTCCACGGCCAGGAGACTGGACACATTTTACATACGACCTCTGCTGCTGTGTCCCGTTTCTCCTCGGAAGACGCGTGTGTGGGAAACAAGGTCGGCCCTTTGAGAGGAGACGGAATAGGAGACCCAGATGAGCCCCACCACCTCACAAACAGCAAGGGGACCCGATGGAGTCACGGCCCAGCAGTGCTGGGCAGGGCTCCGGGAGCTCGGAACCCCGAACTCTGCTGTCGGGGCCACAGCTCCTCCCTCCTCTTCCCCGCTGTCCCTGTGACATGTCCAGGGGACACTAGGTCATCCCCTAAGGGAAAGGGGCATGGAGCAGGTGGCTCCTCCAAGCATCACTCCCGGCCCGCGACAGTGGAAACTGATGGCAGAGTCCCTGTTATGGCAAAGATTTGGACAGAAAGATGAGTGGACTGACCAGGCTGACAAACACCCTTCCCCACCCCCAGGGCCTACTGGGATCCTGTCCTCAGTCATCTTGGTTATTTAAGCCCAGTGGCCTCAGGGCCCCAGAATGGCTAACAGGTGGAGCTATCAGGAAAATGGGATACAATTTCTTTATTGGGGGCTGGGCTCAAACAGGAAACGGATCAGCAAGTGGTGTCCGGAGTGGCCTGCGGGCCTCCTGGGGAGAGTAGGGCTACCTGGAGCGCAGGGAGCAGCTCCCCCCTCTCAGGGGGAGGCGTGGCTGGAGGGGAGGCCCGGCGGCGGCAGGTGGGCAGCGCCCCGGGCAGCCCCGTGTAGATGACGCTGCCGGAGAGGATGAGAGAGCTGCACACCAGGAAGGAGGCGGTGAAGTCCCCTGTCTTGTCCCTTAGAAAACCTGAGGGAGGAATGAAGGAATTGAGGGGCGTCGCAGCCCAGGAACCCAGGGTGCTTAGGAGCAACTCCGCTGGCTCAGGCCCTTACCTGACAGGGGCGGGCCCAGGAGGCCCCCGAGGCTCATCAGCATCATCACCAGCCCCGTGGCCTGCACCACACCGCCGAGGCCCACCAGCCCCGGGAGCACGCCGAAAACCAGCGGGGCGTAAGCTCCGGCGCTCAGCCCGTAGGCACCGGCTGCGGCCAGCAGGGGGCGCCCCCAGCCCTCCTCGCTCTCCGTCGCGGGGACCAGACCCACCGCCAGCAACCCCAGTCCGGTCAGACCCCCGAACACAGCCAGCAGTCGTGGGAGGGGCACCCAGCCCTGGTCCGCTAGCCACCCGCAGACCAGCCGGGCGCCCGCATCCCCCACCGCAGCCACCGCCACCACCAGCGCAGCCCCGTACCCCCCGAGGCCCCGATCCAAAGCGTGCGGGGCCAAATGCACGTAGGGGACGAAGTACCCTCCCCCAATCAGGGCCGTGGCCAGAGCGAAGACTGCGAAGGCCCGACGTGTGAAGAGACCCAGGCCGAGGGCAGCCACGGGGCCGCGGGGTGGGCTCGGGGAGTCGCCAGGGAGGGCCAGGGGACGCAGCAGGGCGCCGCAGGGAGTGAGGTGGAGGGTGATGGCCCCCAGGAGGAGCAGGGCGCCCCTCCAGCCGAAAGTGTCCAGGAGGAGCTGCAAGGCGGGCGCCAGCAGCAGCGAGGAGACCCCATTGCCCGTGAGCGCCAGCCCCACCGCCAAGACTCGACGGCGCGAGAAGTAGCGCGAGAGGGTGCCCAGGGCAGGCGCGAACGCCAGGGCCCAGCCGGAGCCTGCGAGTGGACAGGGCGGGGTGAGCGCGGCGGCCCCATCCTGCTCCCCCAGCCCTCCGTCAGTCACCCCGTTCCCCTCCCTCACCGGCGAGGAGGCCCAGGCCGAGGTACAGGTGCAGCAGACTTCCCGCGAAAGCCGAGAAGACGAAACCCAGCGAAGTCAGGACGCCCCCAACCATCACCACCGGGCGCGACCCCCAGCGCGTGCTCAGGGCGCTGCCCACTGGGCCTGGAAAGGGGCGGGGTCACCGCAAGACACGCCCCCTGGGCCCCCAAACTGCAGCGCTTGTCCCGGCCAGTGTGCCCAACCCCCGGCCTGACAGCCCCTCCTCTGGGCCTCCAGCCCCACACTTTTCCAGAACTCGGTTGTGCCGGTCGCCTACTCATCGGGGAGTCTCCCGCCGTTACGCCCCCGCGCCCCCTCCCCCTCGGGGCCCCCCCTCACTGGCTGCCTGCTGCACGGCCAGGGCCAGGGCGCTGACCCACGCCGTGTCCTGGGCGCTTCGGTCAAAGTGTTCGGCGAGGGCAGGGAGGGCGAGGCCCAAAGAACGCAGGAGCCCGTAGGAGAGCCCGTTCACCAAGAAGGCCGCGGCCGCCACCACCCAGCCCCAGCCCCCGTCCGGGGGTCCGGCCGGCTTGGCGGTCATGGCCGTCTGCGGGGTGGAGAAACGCCAGTGAGTGGAGGCTGCCAGGGCGCGGGCATCCCCGGGGTCCAGCCGCTGGTCTTGAGCATGCCCGAGCAGGTGCGGGGCTCCAGAGCCCGACCTTGAGGTGGCAGAACTTCTGGGTCCGCGCGCGCGCGGCCCCGGGGGCCTGGACGGCAGGATCCTCCCCCCTACCCACGCCCTCTCCCCCTTACCCGACCTCTCCGGGCGGTGGGGGAAGGGAAGGGCTCGGTTTTCTCCTCGCTTCCCGGGCGGGCGGGGCCCCGGAGGGGAGAGAGCCGAGCGGGAGCCCAGCCTGGACGGGCTTGCTCGGTAAACAGAGATCACCGCAGGGGCCCGAGCCACCTGGGACGCTAGGGGTACGGGAGGGCGGGGGCGAGCCGAGACCGGCAGCCAATCCGCCGGGCTGCGGGTGAGGCCTGCCGCCGAGCCCCACGGGGATCGAATTATCCACACGCAGCCGGCAGCGCCAGGATAGGGAGCGGCGGGCACCGAGAGCCGCCCCGCCCCTCCCGCCGCCGCGCCCGGCCTGCGCCCACGCACCTGCCGGCAGCTGCGCGCGGAGCAGAGGTGCTCGCTCCAAGCCCGAGGCGGCCCTGGGCCTGCTGCCAACGCACGGAAATCGGAGCGATGGCCAAGGCCTGAGGGGATGAGTGGGTTTGTTCCGGGGCCCAAGAGCAGGTAAATCCTAGGAGCAGGTAGATCCCCGACGGCAAATCACAGAGCCGGGGTCAAGTCCCCAGGGCACGGGGAGAGGGACCCGCGGTGTGCCAGGCACTCTGTACACAGATGATAGTTTCATCCTCTCAGTAGCCCCAGGACGAAGATGGCACTTCCACTTGGCAGAGCACGGGAGCGTCCCAAATCGCTCAGCTCAAAAGTGGCAGGAGTGTTTAGGCGGAGGTCTCTCCGGCTGCGGGACCACACGGGGAGAAGAGACCTGGGCAGTGGAGGGCAGTCGCCTGGGGGGCGTTTGGTGCACACTCCCCTGCAAAAGGCCGAGCCTTTGCAAAGCCAAGAGTGTGTGACTCTCAAACAGGGGCTGGAAGAGACCTTAGGCTTAGGCTAGAATTGGAAAAAGCGAAGGAAAAAAATCAGAATTAAAACTCGGGTATTGACTTCTTCAAAAACTTGACAAGACGAATTTTTTTTAAAATAGATTCACGTGGGGTTTACTTCAGCCGTTCCTATCTGATGTGTTGCTTGCTTTCATTATTAAACACAACAAAATTCAGCCGCCTGCAGGTGGGCGCGTTACCAACAGAGGGCCACGCGATGGCAGTGTTTCCTAACTGTTGAGAAAGGCCCCGCCTGTGAGGAAAAGACCAACAGCTGTTTCAGACCTCCAAGCCTGGGAAAACAGCGTGGCCCCTGGGAGGAGGGGTGGCCCCCGAGGGGAGGGGGCGTGGCCTCTGCGGGGTTGGGGCCGCCAAATGCCTGTCCTATGTGTTTAAGGCCTTTTGCAATAAGAAAGTTGACCTGGGCTACCTGTGCCTTCCACCCCCTTCCCCTCCCTCTTGCACCCTCCCATCAGCTGTGAGCTTCGCACCTGCTGCGTGGATCCGTTTGCTCGCTTCTGGATTTTGGCTGTCCGCTTGCAAGTCTTCTGGAAGGGTTTGAGGTCCTGCCACGTACACCTTAGGAAAGTGGCCCCACCGGTTTCCCCAGGCTGAAGTCCTGTTTTGAAAGCTGCTCCAGGAGGTGGGGCCCGCGGGCCCTCAGACACCTGCTGGACAGGGGGCCGCTTCCTGGGGTGGCTGCCGCCCCGCTCTGCTGTGAGAGGAATCCCTCTGTCTGTGGTGAAGGTGAATGTGGTGAAGGTGAAATGCAGTCCAAGAGGAGCCAGGCGTCTGGGTCTGGAAGCTGTGCCGAGTGACGCTGAGCGCCATTGCAGGGTTCCCGTGAGCCGACAAGGGTCCTCCAGACCTGGCGGATGCGAAAGGGCACAGTCCTCTTCTACCTCGAGCTCCTTAACCTTGGCCAAAATCGCCCTCTCTTTTTTTTCTTAATATTTATTTATTTCACAGGGAGTTACAGAGAAAGGGAGGGAGAGACAGAGATCTTCCATCCACTGGTTCACTCCCCAAATGGCCCCAGCAGCCAGGGCTGGGCCAGGCCAAAGCCAGGGGCCAGGAGCTCTGTCCAGGTCCCCCACATGGCTGCATGGACCCAAGCACTTGCGCCGTCTTCCACTGCTTTCCCGGGTGCATCAGCAAGGAGCTGGATGGAAGTGGAGCAGCCAGGACTCAAACCGGCGTCCATATGGGATGCAGGCATTGCAGGCAGCACTGGCTTTCCCAGCTACGCTGCAATACCAGCACCCCAAATTGGCAACTTTTGCTCACAGAATTCCTGGATTTTAATCCCAGCTGTACCACTTACGAGCTGTGTGGTTGTGAGGACATCCCTTAGCCCTCTGCCTCAGTTTCCCCTCAGGGTTGTGATGAGGGTCAGCTGAGTGTGTAAATAAGAGACACACGAACATGACATGTCAGTCCACGGCTGCTGTTGTCACTCAGAGGAAGCTGGCTGCCCCTGTAGCACACTGCCCCTCCCCCCCAGCTGCTCACTTCTGATACCTCGGGGTCACGGAACCACGCTGAGCTGCTGAGTTCTTAGCAGAACCAGATGCGAATCATGGGGCCTGCACAGTGGTGTAGTGGGCTAAGCCTCTGCCTGTGGTGCCAGCATCCCATATGGGTGCCGGTTCTAGTCCTGGCTGCTCCTCTTCTGATCCAGCTCTCTGCTATGCCCTGGGAAAGCAGTGGAAGATGGCCCAAGTGCTTGGGCCCCTGCACCCACATGGGAGACTGGAAGAAGCTCCTGGCTCCTGGATTTGGATCCGCGAAGCTCCGGCCATTGCAGCCTATTGGGGAGTGAACCAGCGGATGGAAAATCTTCCTCTCTGTCCCTCTCTCTCTGTAACTCTACCTCTCAAATAAATAAATAAAATCATAAACAAGAAAAAAGGCGGGGGCTGGCACTGTGGTGTAGAGGGTAAAGCCGCTGCCTGCAGCACGGGCATCCCAAATGGGTGCCGGTTCTAGTCCCGGCTGCTCCACTTCTGATCCAGCTCTCTGCTGTGGCCTGGGAAAGCAGTGGAAGATGGCCCAAGTGCTCGGGCCCCTGCACCTGTGTGGAAGACCGGAAGAAGCTCCTGGCTCCTGGCTTTGGATTGCCAATTGGGGAGTGAACCAGCAG